AAGAGTACCCCCCCCCCCCTCTCTTCGCTACCCTATGCATACGTGCAGCCGCTAGTTTTACTTATTTTCTACGGTGTTAGCGGTGGACCCTTCGGCGTCGAGCCGGTCGTGTCGGCGGCGGGACCTTTTCTAGCTCTCATGGGCTTTCTTTTCCTTCCTATGGTCTGGTCAATCCCCGAGGCGCTAGTCACCGCGGAGCTCTCTACAACCTTTCCGGAAGCCGCGGGGTGTGTGGCATGGGTACGTGCCGCCCGAGTGGGGTTGACGATTCACGGGTGTCTTTGGTGTGCGCGTGTTTGCCGTCCCTTCATCTTGGTGTGCCGCCGTCGCTGATTTGACTTCGCCGTGGCGTGACGAAAGGAACCATGTCATCCTACCCACCTTTTCTCAATCCAAGACCAGCGACCCCGATGCACAATCCAGGTGATGGCTTGTGTGGTATACGTGATGGCACCAAGCGTTGTGTCTTGTATCTTCTCGTCGCGTTGTAGATAGGGTACCCTCTTGGTGTGGCAAAGGACGACCGCTACGCCGGTTGCTGTTGGTTTCTCCGAGCTGTCAGGACTTGCCCTTGTTCGGTTACTTACTCTCTGCCTTTGTGGCTGTCCGTAGGTCTCAACAGCTTTCGGCCCGTTCTGGGGGTGGATGGAGGGCTACGCGAGCTGGATGTCCGGCGTCGCAGACAACAGTCTTTGTGAGTCACGCGCCCGAGCGACCATTTCCTTGTCTGCTGTCTGCGCCGCTGTACACCTTGATGACGTTTCGGTGGCTAATGGTGTACTGCTTTCATCGGGAAGTTTTTTTTTTGTATGCCTTTTGCATTGAGGCCCGCAGAGTGGAATCGGTATCAATAGTTTCTTATCATTAGTCGTTCAAGCGCGTTTCTTCTTCGTTTAGAGCACCGGGAGCATGTCGCGAAAAGCTTTCGCAATGGCGGGCCCCACTTGCTGCCAGAGGAGAAGTGACTTTTCTCGCTACAACGTCTCATGTTGCCCACTGCTTACAGCATGACCCCGCCCGTCTTCCTACTGGTGTTTTTCCCGCTGCGCGAACAACTGGTCCCAACCGCCATGGTAGATCCGGTTCTCTTCCTCGACTACCTTGTGAGCCTGCTTCCCAGAGACAGCTTTCTTCGTGAGGACGGGTTAGGCCGGTGGGGCTGCATCGTCTGCCTCAATTTAGGCCTCTCCTACCTGGCCTACCGGGGCCTTCGGTACAGTAGTGGTCTCGAATAGCGCGCGGTCGTGTTGCGGAAACACTTCCTTGGCACAACAACCTAGCTGTTCAGGGACCTTCCTCCAATAGCGCAGGATTCGATATAACGCCGTGATTTTTTTTGTGACTACACAGCAATATGTCGGGACCACTACTCGCCGGTCTGATTCGCTCGACATACTATACTAAGACTTTAAATAGCGCAGCATCACCATAGCCGATGCTCATCGATGGGCTTAGGGTGTATGAAATATCCACACTCGCTTGCCCTCCAATCGTCGCCGCCACCGTTTTGCAACACGCGCTGACGTTCTAGAGTGGTAGGACGGACCGCCATAGCGGTGGCAGTGTTCAGTTTGCTCCCGTTCGTTGTTCTCGTGCTGTGGGGGCTTCCGGACTGCACGATGCCGGAGTCGTGGATTTCTCCGCCAGACGGGGGCTGGGGAGCGATACGATGGGGGACGTATCTGAACGTCATGTTCTGGTGAGGCGAACGCTGAGTTATTAGCACCTGTGAACAAAGGGTGCAATCACTTGCCAACAAGAGCACAAGCTCGAGCTCTGAGGAAGGGAGGGTCCGCCTGTAGAACGACCAATAGCACGCCCGGAGGAGCGTGCGGCGTTTGTCTCTGTCTGGCAAGCTGGGCGCACTTTCCCTATGCGCGCTGATCTGACGTGTCCGCCACGCTTGCATGTGATGGTAAACTGCGTGGTTGGGTGTTCTCTCGCTCCGACGGCTGACTGGCTTTGGGTGGAGTTTTTCTGGTATTGCACCGGTTCGGCGGCTCTCTCATATCCCGCAAAAAACGAAATTATGGTGGTACAGCATAATCGTTCCAAAATAGTGCTCTCACACATATGAGACGTTTTTTTTCGCAGTGCTGACGTTCCCCCCCATCTGTGCCGCCGACGATTTCCCCGCGCGAAAACGCTCCCAGGAACCTCAATTACTGGGACAGCGCGGCTTCTTTCGCCGGGGAGGTGGAGAACCCGGGAAGGACGTACCCTCGCGCCCTGGTCGCGTGCGTGGCCCTGGTCGTCCTGTGCTACGGCTTGCCGATCTTCGTGGGGACCGGCGCGGCTTCCGTTGCGACGGCGGCGGCGGCTAATAGTGCCGGCGAGGGGGGTCGGTGGTCCCTGTGGGAGGACGGGTACTTCGCGGAGGTGGCGGAGGCGATCACGGGGCGTTGGCTCGGGGTGTGGGTGGTCCTGGCTGCAGCGGCGGCGAACATCGGGCTCTTCGAGGCGGAGATGACTTCCGACGCCCTCCAGCTCATGGGAATGGTGAGGGCGCTCTGGCTATTGTTGTTGTTGTTGTTGTTGTTGTGGTTGTTTTTGTCTTGACGCATTAAACACCGTTCCGGTCTCCTCACAGTAGCTTCTAATATCCATATTGGTCCAACTGACGCGGACACCTTTTGTGGTCGCAAGCCAACTACCCAACGAGTGGTATACCTTTCTGCTCCCTCAACAGCCAAATACTAGAAAGCATGATGTGTTTGTGTGCTTTCGCCCTCTGCAGCACTACTTTGCGGGCGCCCGTGCCGATATTGCTTTGTGTGCTTATCTGTTGGGCAGCCCGCTTGTCATCTCCGGAGACTTGAGCGGACGGTCTAAAAGCTTCTCTCAGGGTACGGCTTCACCCCGGCGAGCTGGAAAGCTTATTGCTGTGATGCCGCCTCCTGCTCTGGTGCGCCAATTTTCCATATTGCTGCGGTCTTGTTCGTGTGTTCCCAATCCCGACCTTTTTATTATTATGTTTTCCTTCAAAAGGCGGAACGAGGGATGCTGCCGGCAGTGTTTGCAAAGCGAGGGCCGCATGGCATCTCTACCCTGGCTATCGTCGCCTCTTCCACGGGCGTGGCATTTCTCGGGCTGCTGGGTTTCGAGACCATCGTCGAGATTTTGAATCTTTTATGTGAGCCTTTGAAGTTTTTGCACGTACGTGGTGATGTCGGGGTACAATGTCCATATGTACAACAATCAGGGAAAGCCTGAGGGTATCTGGTGGGTATTTTCAGTCTGCACGGGGTGCGCCCTTCGTCTTCTCTGATTCTGATTAGGAGAGGGCAGTGAGTGTGTACCTGTCATGCGTCTCACTTGCGGCCAAAGTTTTGTCTTGGAGTCGTTGGCGTTGGAGCTCTAACACGGCGTCTCCGACACGGCATAACCGCTCCACGGTTTCAACGGGGTGACGGCACTGAATTAGGGGGCCCATGTGGTGCCACAGGTAGCAGTTTGTCAATCCCACAGCAGTAGAACGTGCACGCGGATTCCTGACTAGTAGACACACAACTGCTCGTTTGTGTTTTTCATGTACAACCGTACATCAGGGACTGCAAAAATGTAAAACCTGCCGTCCTAGACAACGGGGCAGATTCTCACCATGTGCTCTTCACCGGCTGGGTTCATGTAGCACCCCGTGTACCATTGCAAGGCCCCGTACCCCCTAACCGCACGTGTAGCTGCTACTCTCCTACCCCTGATGCGTTTACTCTGGATGTGTGTGTTGCCAACCTCATGTAACCGCTCGTGTTTCTTCAAACCCAGACTGTTTCGCTGAGATTTTGGAGTTCGTGGCCTTCATCAAGCTCCGAGTATCCCACCGCGACATGCATCGACCGTACGAGATTCCCCTGGGCACCGTCGGCGTGTGCCTGCTGCTGCTGCCGGCGGCGTGCTTCGTTCTTCTGCTCGCCGCCTTTTCGTCGGTCATTACCTGGGTCGTGTCGGGGGTGGCCCTGCTGATCGGAGTGGGACTATACCCCGGCTTGCTGCTCGCGAAACGCGAAAAGTGGTGCGAGTTTCGATCCGCGACGCGATACGAGGGTGATGTCGACGGGGCGGACAATACGCCCTTGTACGGCAATTGAACGTCGCGTGCGTGTATTTTGTTGGCGCTTTGTGCGTTTGCGTTGTGTGGCAATCCGTTTGCCCTGTTTTGCTCATGCCGTCCTCCTTGTTTTTGTTAGTGATACCGCGGGGTCAGTGCGAAGACGAGACGTTTATGCGAGAGTCAAAGCAGCGTCAAAGTCTAGTACAGGTTTGGTTGCTGGACCAAATTGTGTCGCATGGCCCTCGTTGCCATGGAACCCACGCTACAGCATTTCTCTACGCTCGCATGGATGACGAGGCGAGGATAGAGGGATGCCTCATGACAGAAAATCGTACGGCCGCGGTCCAGATGCTGCATACCCAGGTGCACGTTATCGGAAACCATTTGCCACGAAACGCGCACAGTCCCACACACTCTCGTTCGGCCGACATTCGACGGCGTTCCAACCTCTGATGTTAGTGTTACAGCGGAGGACCTCATTCCTCCCGATCAAGTTGCGCATGTCGAGTCTTAGACCGACTTACACTCATAGGCCTAAACCAAAGAGACGTTGCAGTACAACTGTTCACTCCATCTCCGTGGCGTATTCTATTCAATTTCGCAACGGTCACTTGGTGAGCTGGAACCGTGACATCAAGACATCGTCACCATCACACTTACGAGGAAACTACATCGTGCAGTGCGTAGCCGTCCAAAATTTGGTCTTTTTTCTGCCACCAACATCTCAGCAGCACAAGGTTTTGGTCCTTCCTTTTGCTGATACCAGTGTTTTTTTCTTCCCGCGTGTAGTGGTGGGTACTTCTTTCGGTCCAATCGCTCTGAGTTGATCGCGTCAACGCCCGTCCGCTGCTGTCGTGCTACCCATCATCGCTCGACGATTCTTCGTTCCCCCCCAAATCGTGAAGAGGATTCCCAAGGCATGCCAGCCGGGTGCCGGGAGACCTTAGCCTTCCCGACAAGCCTCCGCCCAATTTTTCTTCCGTCGCCTCCGCCCCCGCCGTGTTGTGTGGTCGGCCTTGTGCCACGGCTGCCATACCCAAGGCTTCTGCCACTTCTTGCGCCGTCATCGCCGCCAAAGCTTGTGATGGTACTGGCGGCTGTCGATCTTTGTTTCCCGTGTCACAAGCTTCCCCGACGTGATGATTTGGTGCTTTCATCGGGGAGTTGTCTCTTGGAAGAGCTTCCCGAGCGTTTTCCTCATCACCGCGGTGACCTGCGGCGGTATCCGAGCCCTCCATGCGGTCGGCGACCGCACTAGCGTGCGGGTCAAGAGGCACGTCAAGCACAGCCCCAGCGGAAACAAGAGCCGGATCGATGATCGGCGCGGCGCCGGCAAGTTTGATCCTCGTCACATCTGGAGGCCCGTCGTGCGTTCGCGACGTCAGGCCGAGATTTGGCATCGAGTAGTCTCGCCGTAGTATCATTCCTTTTCTCTCCCCGCCCGTGCCGATATCAGTGCCGCTCCCCTCACCGTGAGTAGCCGCCACGTTTGACAGCAATGGCCACGATGATGCCCTCGACCAAACCCCCGGCGTCGCGTGGTATTCCGGCGGCCGAACGGGACCGGCGATCATCCCCGCCGGTGGGCCCTTGATTTCGGGGGACACCACTGCTACCCGCCGACCGGAAAACGTCGAGTTGCACCCACGTTGTGCAGACGGGGGCGCGGGGTGTTGTAGGTTCGACTCCATACCACGAGTCCTAGCAGAACATTCACGAGGGGAATTTCCGGGCTCGTCGAGAACACCAGGACGGCAAGGGGCGTGGTGAATCTCACCCTCCGCGAAGGTGCTCAGATTAGGCGTTTCGCCCGGGCCTGTTTTTGCTCTGCCGACGCCCGGTTTCAACCTTTCGCGGATGTCGTCCTTGCGCTCTCCGACGGTTGCTGTGGGAGGGGTCGCAGTCGCCCGCCCATGTCCTTCTTGCTGTTTTGGTGAGAAGTGTGCGACCTCAACGGAAAAAACATCCCCGGTCTCCTCGCGGGCTAGGGCAAGGCGTCTGGCCGCTGCGGGGGAGGCTTTACTTGCGCTCGCAAGCCCCTCTACCTCGGCGGCAAGGTGGAAGATTCGCGTGCTGTTGGTCTCGATGAGTTCCCGCGTCTCCTTCAGGCTCTCGTCCAACCGATTCCTACTTTCTTCGACGGCCGCGGTGCTAGTCTCGTCTACTTGCCGACATCTCTCGTCCGTTCTCGCGCACCTCTCCTCTATCAGGCCGCACCGAGCCGCGACCTTGTCCAACCTCGAGTTTGCGCCCGCCGCCACCGCCGCGGTACGCTTGGCCTCGACACTCGCCGCCTCCACCGATCTGTCAATGCGTGCAATAGCCTCCTCGGCGTGAGTAAGACTTTCTTCTAGAAACGCCGTGCGACCGATTCCGGCGTGTGCTGGTTGTACCTCCGCGCACGGTTTGACTTCTTCTTTCTCGCGAACACAAAGGCCGCCGCCAGTCGCTTCTTCGAAAATCCCAGCCGAAATCAGGAGCTCGCAGACGAGGTCCAGCTTCCCGCGCTGCGATTTGACAGTCCCCTTGTCGGCCTTGCAAAGCTGAGCAGCCATGAAGGCCCCCTGCGTGACGAAGTTTTCTCGGCGTATGTCGTGCATAAGCCTCTGATGTGTGCCAACTTGCCCCTGCAGATCTGGGAGTATTGAGGACACGAAATATATTGTGGATAGGGCATCGGATCCAGTAGGAACGACGCTCAGCAGCTGACAGCACACGGCTCTCAATGCGGTACGTACAGTAGTTACAAATTTGGAGCGTGCTGATACTTGCTTTCGATGATATATTGCCCTGACACTTTCCAAATCAAAATATTGCCCCTCACACAATTCAAACTTCGACGTTTACATGTAGACCAGAACTTCAAATGCGTACCAGGCAATTAGACTACACATGATGAGTGCATGATGCTATATTGTTTGACCTACAAGAGTAAATCCTATGAGTGTATGAGTGTGTTTCTAGGATATGTTTTGAGTATGTCCTGGTCGCGATATTCCCAGAGTCTCCCTCTAGGCTCTAAAAGCAACGCCATGAGAACTGTGCCTGTGAATTAACCGTATTATTAGAGTAGGTTCGGAGTGTTGCCTCTCTGTGGTTCATGCCATGCAGAATTTTGAACAATTGCTGCTGAGTGGTGTACACGGTAAACATACATGCAGACAATAACACGGGGTTGATGCCATGCGTGCAGAATTTGCTTTTATTTACACTGCGCGCCGCACGCTCACAGCAAACGGATCTCACCTGCCACCATTGCCTCTAGCTTCGCCACTCGTTGCGTGAGATGGAGATGCTGTGCCAAGTGCACCCGCACGCTGAAAGCATTGCCGGCAGGGTCAACTACCACGTCCTGGCCGTGCCTCGGTGCTACGCAAGCCGATGTAGTCAATGGCCTTCCCTGTTTCGAGCCATGCTTATGACACCCGCGGTTGGTCGGTGTCGGGAGTTTGTCGAGTACTCTGCCAAGGTCGTCCGCTAGGACAGTCACGCCGCGGTTGATCAAAAGGTGGCGCCCTTCGTCATCCCATTCGCCCATCATTTTATTATCGACTTCTTCTCAAGCCATCTGTTAGACTGAACGAACGCGGCTCAGGACATCGAAATCTTACACATTGTGCGCGTGCGCGTGATTGCCTACAAACCGGATCGACAGAGTCAACAGATCTACGTTTTTTCTCGGAAGCAGGCCGGCGGACGGTTTCAGGGGGCACCGATGATTTATTTTTCGCAAACCAGGGGGGGTCGAGGCGGGGGGTATCTGAGAGGAGAGGATTCACCTGCAACCTCTCCAACAACGATTCCATCGCACCGCTGCCAACCTACTCCACCCGTATCTCTAGCACCTCACACCGCAATAGAAAGATGAAGACCGCTTGCTGCATGGCCGTTGCTTGCGCCGGAGTGGCGCAAGGATTCGTGGCTCCCAGGTACGCTTGGTTTTTGTTTCATGAGCACGCTCCTCATTTTCGTGTGTTTTGGTAGGTTGCCTCCCTCCCGTACGTGGCATCCTTTGACTCCCTCCCTGAGTGTTTGGGACAAGTGACAGACCTCGGGGTTCAAGAGCCAGCATCAGCAGAGGGTGTTTGTTATTCGTGTTGGTCTATTCGGAAGCGGAGGCGAAGGGGTGTGTTTGGTGGGAGTTTTAGATATGCGCGCTCGGTTTTGTGGTCCTCGAATCGATCATGACCGCCACTAACCCTCCCGAGAGAGTGGGGCGGACATGCCACGGGATAAGTGCCGCATGAGGCTACGACGCCCTGTGTGGTCAAAGGTAGCATCGTGTGAGCTTAAGACATTCTCCCTCCTAGCCGAGGGAGTGCTCCATATAGCTTATGTTGCGGCCGTATTCACCAGGAGTGAGCTGCCTGACACAGCAGGTTTACGCGTTGTATGCATACGATAAGTAAGCATTTCCTCCCACCTTCTCCACGGCTCCCAAGATGACGAGACGTGGAGCGTTGGATGTGCCGCCAATTTCACAGCAGCAGGTGCCTCTCCAAACTTTGAAGCCAGATTAACCTCATGTCGGTGGCATGGCACGGCACACCATGTAGTTGATCGTGTTGGTTGCTCGTCCAGCTATGTAGAGATGGAGCGGTTGGATGTTATGTTGCCTTCGAGACTTCACTTTGCAGCACACAGCAGACTCCTAAGAGAGCCGGCTGCATACAAAGTACCTGCACACCCCACGTAGCAGCAAGTACATGCAACACATCATTTGCTGTACTCCATCCGAAAGGACGGAATGGTACATGTGTACTCGGTTGGCCGGGCATTACTTCCTGAAGGCGTTGGTGTTGCTTTGGTGCTCATACCAGGATTAATGCCGAACAGCATGAAGTATCCCCGCAGCAGCACTAATAAAACTCCAGACGTCAGACCAACACGTAACCTCGGTTCTCAACAGAGCGGTTTCACTGTGACAACTCCATGCCCTTAACCGCTGTAGCGGGAGAACACGCGGAAAACGTGCGGGGCTGAATGGCGCAGCATGCGAAACCTGTATGCAGTAGCTGCTCTGTGGTCGGTTCTGCCACGCGCACTAAGTGGTGCGGGACGGAAGTGAGAACAGGTAGCCGTGATATACACAGATACCCGACGTGAACTTGTCCTTCGTTGGTTTGATTTGGCAACAATCATCACAACAACCGATGGTACACCATTGAGCAGCTTGGCTCGTAGTTCTCCGGTTGCACGGGAGTTCCGCCCATTCGTCCACATGTGCTGCTCTATCGCAGACGTTGCAAAGCCGAGCGTCCGACGCAGTGAACAGTTTGCTGGGGCTGTATGCTTGAGGGTGTGGTTGCAAGTGCTTGCTGGTCACGCACGTGCTCTGTAAAGCAGAGACCTGTGTCCTGCTTGGCCTCTCTCGTCAGCAAGTGTTACAATAGCTACCCATTCTCAGCGCTGCTCGACGAAGGTCTGGCTCTTACTAACCTGACCGCTCGCAAGCAGGCGAAACAGCTCTTGGAGATAAAGTAAAGGTTATGAAGCGATGGTCAGAGTGCACCGCATTTGCGGCTGATCGAGCGCTAGAGGGAGACACCTCGGCCATGTTCCCGACCCTCTGAAGGCCGGCAGCCCATGTCAATGTTGAACCTATAGTTGGATCGTCCTGCGAAGCTCTACTCGTACATTTTCTTCACCCGTTCCCGACAAAAAAACTTAATGCTGACCGTTTGCTCTCTTTTTTGTTCAAAACCGCAGTCTCGCCACGTATTTAAGAGATACCGTACTTTGCTTTAGCGCTCTACCCTTGGTCGCGTCGCCAGTCATTTTCGGCACGTCTTCGAACAGTTGAGGAAGCGTGCAAGTGTGCCGCCACTTCCCATTCCGAGCCGAATCATTACCTCCTAAAATCTGGCTTAAGGGACCGCGGGTCTTCTCTGGAAGTATTGTGTGTAGGCCAGTGTACCCCCTTGATGCTCAGTAAATTCCCCCCCATATGATAGCCCCGTTTCTTCCCCTCCCTCGGTCGTGTTCTTCTCCTTCTCCGCGGCGCGTTTTCTGTCGAAACAGCGCCTTCAACGGTGCCGCCGTCACCACCGTCGCCAAGTCTTCCTCCGCGATGAAGATGTCCTTCGAGTCGGAGATCGGCGCGCAGCCCCCGATCGGGTTCTGGGACCCCCTCGGCCTCGTGACGGACGCGGACCAGGAGAGGTTCGACCGCCTCCGCTACGTGGAGATCAAGCACGGCCGCATTGCCATGTAAGGGAGGGGTGTGTGGCCCAAGAGGGTTTTTGGAGCTTGTTTGGATTAGTTTTGGACAAGTTTCCAGGCAGCACACGAAGAGAACCGGACCTGTGCAATGGATTTGGCTCGTTGGTGATGCTTTTACCGTGCCGCCGCTGGAGCGGATATGTAGTTGTATCTTGATCTCCCCCCGATTTTTGTGTCGTTGGTTGGCAGGTGCCTGTTTCGCCACCCTAGTTTTACTTTAATGCTTACATGAATGTCCTTGTTTCCTGGTTACCCCTCTCGGTACGATGTTTGGTTTGTTGTCGCTGCTGTTGCGTTGCACAAGGCTCGCGGTGGCGGGCCACCTCACCCAGCAGAACTACCGCCTCCCCGGCATGCTGTCCTTCAAGGACAACATCTCCTTCGAGGACGTGCCCAACGGGCTCGCGGCCTTCTCCAAGATCCCGCCGCTGGGCACCCTGCAGATCATCCTCGCCATCGGCGTCCACGAGCTCTTCGTCGTCAAGCAGGTTCGTTGGTATCCCGCTGCCTGTCTGTCGTTCACTGGTGTTTTGTTTTGCAGTCTAGCTGGCTTTCCCTTGATCAAAGCAGCACAACCCTCCTGCGGTCGGTGTTTGTTTTGCGGTGCATGACCGCATTCTTTCTCGATCAAGCAGAGCACGAGCCGCCCGCTGTTTTGCTGTGCATGTGGTCTAGACGGCATTCCCCCTAGATCAAGCAGGCGAGCCGCCCGCCAGCTCTAGAGCCTCCTTGAAAAATTGTTGCGAAACGCCTCCCAGTCTATGGCGCCGCCAAGGGCCCGAGCTCTTGGTCCAAAACTATGCACTCCAGCACGGATTCCTGGACCATAATAATTTCTCTCTTCATTGGGGCCAGGAAGAACCTTGCATGAAGTGGGCCGGCTCGAAGAGGGAGCGTGAGTTTTTGCCATGTTCTTGTTCGGAGTAATCGAAGTGTCAACAGTCCTCTTCATGCTCCAGCAGGAGTCCGTGCCGGGATGCGTAACTACAGTATACCGCGACCTCGTGTACTCGGCGGGCAAAGGCGATTCCGTAGACAGAGAGGCTGTGCTTTGGTTGCACACTTCCGACGGATAGATAAAAGGGGCAGCACATGCCGTACACAGTCTGTGACCATTTGTTATGCTGTCCCGCCCGCGCGCTGTCGATTTTGATCGGAATCCGTCGCTGCCCGAATAACCACGAAACGTGCCTAATATGCTATATAGGTGGAAGGCTCCTTCCCGGGAGACTGCACCACAGGCGGCAACATCTTCCAGTCGGCGTGGGACAACATGTCGGAGGAGACCCAGGCCTCCAAGCGCGCGATCGAGCTCAACAACGGCCGCGCGGCGCAAATGGGCATCCTGGCCATGATGGTCCACGAGCAGCTCTCGAACCAGCCCTACATCATCAACGACCTCGTCGGCGCCGCGTACAAGTTCAACTAAGCCGTCCGTTTTTTATCCACGGTTGTCGTACGTGGGAGGTTTCTAGCTTCGGGTGCGGCGGTGGTGGTGGCCGGCATGCTGAGTCCGCTCGGGGTGCGGCCGAGGGGGGAGATGGGGCCAGCCGGCTCTCGGCCGTTCCAGCGGAAAGGGATTAGATAGAAACACCCCTCCCTCCCTGCATCCGTCTTGTTTCTGTCTCCCCTTTGTTGTTTTAAAATGTTTTTGTGGGCCCTTGTTTTGTACCAGTGGAGTAGGGGCGAGGGGCAAGGGAAGCCTTCCGCAGGACGACGTTCTTGAGGACGAGGCATGCTGTTGCTGACCGCTTTTTGAGCCCTGACACCGCCGCCCAATACAGGTGTCCACACAAACGAGCTGGCTGTACAGCTGAAAAAGCAGGAGCGTTGTTGGGATTCTTGAAGTTTTGCTGCAGTACTCTCGCGTCCAATTGGAGCTCTGGTTCTGGCAGGGAAACCGCGTTCTCGCCATTTTTGTGCTTTGCGTCTGCTTTTGTCACCACCTGCGTTGGAATTTTTTAACACGAGGCACGATGTGCTGTGTCGCTGCCCCGTGCGTAGGTGTTGACGCGCACCCCATTGGTGCTCGTTTGTAGGAGCTGTGTGTATCTGTGGCCTGCTCTTGCTCACTCGCGTAGACCGTCACGTCCCCTTTGCCCAGCCCCACGGCAGTCGTGTGCTTTTTGCCTGGAGAAGGAGGCGCTCCTCTTTTCTGGCCTATTGTGTCTCATCACCTCACGGGGGAAGAAAGGAAACTACGATGTTTAATTTGACAAAACTCATGGCGCGGCTCTACTTCCGCTGTCGAGTGTTGACTTGACCCCTTTAAAAACCGTACGACGAGCCAGCAGTGGGTTTCTCTTTTCCCGCCGAGGATACATATCCCTGGGTTGCAGTGTCATGTGTGTTGGCCCAGGTTTTGCGCATGTGCCAAATTCCGTACCGGTTTCGGAACGTCCTGCCGTGCTTCAGGCTGATGGTGCGATCGGGGGGTCATCAAGGAGTCCTACATACATGCCAGTTTTGTCGTGACTTCCTTGACCGCCCACCCTCTGACGCATTCGTCGGCAAACATGGCTTACAATCCCTTCCGCTTGGTCTGGAACAAGAATCGTCTCTGAAGAATGAGCTACACTGCAGCTCTGTGCTTCCAACTCATATCTCATTCATGCACCTCGTTTCGATGAGCCAACCAGAAGTCTGTCAGTTTCTCTTCACACAAAACCATCCCCCACCTCATATTATTCTTACGTGGATAATAAGATCATAGGTTGCCGTGTGCCACGGCTGCTTTCCCCACTTGGAAGATGGCGTATGTTTCGAGACTTGCTCCTCCTTCCAAATCTCAAGACTGGGTACCTACCCGGGTCTCCTTCTACCGAGGGTGTAGCCAACTTCCCCAAGACGCGAGCGTGTTTGCGCAGTTCGCAAGGTAAAACAAACCACGTACTTTTGATGGTGTGCGACAACCAACCAACCAACCAACCACCGTGACAACAAAGAGTGACCTATATATATGCAACTACTAGGCTACATACACTACAAATCGACGAGGTAGTTACACAGATGCCAGGCAACAGCAACACATTCGCGCAAGCTGTTAACATTGGAAGGTCAACCTAGGAACGTGTGCGCCGCGAGTGGTCCGTTCTGCGCACCAATTGTTCATACCTCATCGTTACCCTATCCTCAAAGACTCGGACGCTGTTGTTGCGTTCAAATACACCTCCAGAACCTGCGGTCTACTTTTCCTTCTACATGCTCTGTGTTTATCAAAACCCGTACGAAGCTGCAATGATGGGCCACACCGGCACACTACTGATGTTACCGACCTCTCCCCACACACAAGAGGGGCACCCACTCCCCCCCCCCAGACATCGTACGCATATTTTACAGGTATCTAATAGCACAGCATGGGAAACGCCCACCACGTGCGTGAGTGTCTGCGAGCCGCGCGCTGGGACGGATACATGCACGACCTACTACTCTAAGGCGAACATGTACACGGGAAACAGCTCCCCGGGGAAGCCGTTCTGTTGGGTCTGGTGCACCACCCTCACCCCGCCGTGGTTGAACAGGCTTCGGAAGTAGCCGAGCGACCGCGTCATGCTGCTGTCCTCGCTGTCCACCTTGAAGGCCCCTTCCCCTTCCCCGATGACGTTGTCCTTGATCACGATGAGCCCACCCTTTCGGAGCGCCGACCGGCACCGGGCGAGAAGCTTGAGGAGGTCCACGTCCGTGAAGTGTCCGACCACCCACTGGATCCAGACGAGGTCGTAGCTGTCCTCCGGGGGGAAGAAGTCCTGCCGCGGCGGGGTGTGAAGCAGCAGCGGTAATATTTCCGTCCGCAAACAGTGGGTCGTATCGTACAAGAACGACGTGAGGGTTGTTTGTTTGCTCAGGGCACAATTATGTAGCGGGACAAACGAAAGGATGCCACGTTGCCAAGAATAAACTACCGTTTCTCCTCCGATACCCACGTGTCACCTCGCCGCGAACGCCGAGAACAAGCATACCATCCATGAGCATCATAACTCGCGTCTGTGTGTGTGTGTGTGCCCTCGGACACCTCTCTCTCACCTGCAGACCAACACACACGCAGGTCGTGCGATCTCTATCTCGCCCCACGTACTTGGGCGCGGCCTGAATGAGCCGCGGGCTCTGCTCCACGATGTCGACGGCGTCGAACCGATCGAGCAGCAAGTGCTTCGTGACCCTGCCGATGCCCGCGCCACAATCTGATTTTCGACGCAGCGACGACGGCAACAAACACGTCAAAAACAAAAAATAAACATGTGAAAAGGATCACTTCCAGGATATTCTGAGGGGTCAAGCGTGGACAACGGCAACAAACACGCCAACAACACACACATGAAAATAATCACTTCCAAGATCTTCTCAGGGGTCAAGCTTGGACAACACGCACCGTACTTCTTGCATATCGCAAACAACCAGGCATCTCGGCTGGGGCGTCATTGGGAGACGAGCGCGCTACGGAGAAATTGGTGTTAAAAATCCGGCTCAAACGTCGTCGCACACAGACTTCAGTTTCTTGTTAAAACTGCTGTATCCCAAAACCTTTCCGGCCATACTCGCCATGTGAAAAATCAATACGCCACATTCACGAGGGGAGCGGACGCAAATTACTCTCAACTCAACGCTTACGAAAGCTCATCCGTGTCCGCACACTCTCTGTGCGCGGCAGAAGGCCCCCAAACTTTTGTTAGACCCTAGCATATTCATAGCGCAGGTTTGTTGGTGTGCTGACGAGCACAGGTCCTCCACGCACAGACAGCAGCAAGAGCGTGCCCTGTCGGTCCGATCGATCGATCACCCACGTGTGAGTGTTGATGTGTGTGTCTAGCTTACTTGCTGTGTACGAGAAAAGGGCAATAAACACCGGTACCTCATCGTATTTTCATTCGATCATTTCTGACCCATTTCATCTGATACTACCATACCCCGACCAACGGCACCCCCCCTCCACCCTCACCCCTGAACCTCCCCCCCGCCCACCTGCCGCGGTTTCGTCGCCAAGGAGAGGTCTCATACTCTTCAGCTCGTCCAGAAACGCCGCCGAGCCAGCTATGTCGGTGGGGGATATGTGTCCGTAGCCGCCCAGGACTCCGTCATCGTCAACCGGGCAGTTGTCGCCGTCCTCCCAGTAGTCGTACGCTCGCTCGTACCATTGCACTGCTCCGCCGCCGCCGTCGCCGCCGGTGCTGTTGCTAGACGCTGGTTTTGTGGATTGAGGCCGTGCTTTTGCAGACTTGTCGCCGATTTTTTCTTGTGGGGTGGTGGTGCCTGTCGCCTCATCCCCCCCCGCCGGTAGCGCCTGTTGCCCGACGATGGTGAAAAGGAGGGCGCCCGGTGTTGAGTGGCGTCGCGGTTCTTGCGAGAAGAAGGTAAACAATGTACGTACGTCTGGCTTTCGTTCGGTGGGGCGTTGTGGTCTGTCTGAGCGGGCGTAAGGGCGGGCGCTGCTGCTGCGAGCGATCGACCATATGCATACTTTTTCCCTTCTTCCCCTCGCTGCCTCGGGAAGGTTTTGCGTAGGCATGACCCATAGCGAGGGGGGGGGGTCATTCTAGCGAGCAGGGCTAGACTCACCCTCAAGGGACCGATACCTTCTTGCTGCGGCGCACCCGCCGCGAGGCGTGCGTAGTGGTGGAGTTGGGTCGGCACTGGTGCGTCAGGTACAAAGGTGCAGATGCGCGGGCCTCCAGGCCGTCGGTGTAGGCAGCAATGCCTATCTCATCTTTGTGCGCGGAGGCAGACGTCATCAGAAAGGTGGACGGGCACTATGTACACGACCCTAGGTTTGCTAGAGGGAGCTTTACTGTCTCAGTAACCTGGTTTTGCCATCAAAGGAGGGGGGGACAGGTGGTGACGAGCTGATTGGGCTGTTTGACCCTTCGGCGCGAGAATTTTCAGACCAAGAACCCTATGTGCAACGAGGGAGAAAGCGAGGAACCGACTGGGAAGGACAGCAACGAGAGCGTTTACAAAGCGGAGCGGGTCGAGTTTGGTCGTGCTAGGACTGGCCACAGCGGCACCGGAGCAGCGGAACCGGAGCATGCGGACGGCATCGAACCGTGGCGCACGGACAAACATCTCTTGTGTTGTCAATTATTTTCCGTTTTTTTTCTGAAGGTATGGCGCAGATAACCCGGGTGCCTTAATTGTGTACCTGCATCGTGGAAGACCCCTTCAATGTGGAACGATTCCTAGTCAGTGTCTATGTTTACATTGCTGTGCCTAACACAGATCATCTGGATAGATTCGGTTGATTGTCAATTGCAATGATGGCTTTGGTTGGGTCTTCTCCTTCATTGTATGTCCACGGACTCATTCTGACAGCACTTCAGGAAGCAGCTGCATGCCCCGAGCTTGTGTACCATGCACCATGGTGTTATTATTGTACAGACAGCACTTCAGACAGCAGTACGCTGTAGTCGACAAGCATTCATTTTGGTTCAATGCGGGACAAGGTGGGTTATGCTGCCGCTGTAGTCGAATTGTAGTGTGTGGGCGTGTAGTTCAGTTGTGAGCACGCAAACGTGCTGCAGGGATTGTAGGTGTACCTCCTCGGGCTTGTGTACCCTTTTCTTGCTAATAGTGTGTGTTCTTTAGATGTTCTGATGGCTCTAGANAGTACGCTGTAGTCGACAAGCATTCATTTTGGTTCAATGCGGGACAAGGTGGGTTATGCTGCCGCTGTAGTCGAATTGTAGTGTGTGGGCGTGTAGTTCAGTTGTGAGCACGCAAACGTGCTGCAGGGATTGTAGGTGTACCTCCTCGGGCTTGTGTACCCTTTTCTTGCTAATAGTGTGTGTTCTTTAGATGTTCTGATGGCTCTAGATAGCATTTTTGTGACCACGGACCGAGTCTTCGCTAGATTTTGGGATTAGCAACTGACACGAGTTTAATGTGAAGAAAACAACAACAAAACAATACGTACACAGAGGTCGAAGCTCCGTAGGGGACGAGGACGGGCTTGATGTCAGTTTGCAAGAGGCGTCATCGATTGTAGCAGTACGTTTCTTCGCCGTGTGAACACTGCGTCGTTGGTGTCCCGGATAGACACCTGTTTCTCCGTTTTACTCAAAGGGTCAACCTGACGTGTACAGGGGATGTTACCGTCCTTGCGTCGCCTGGAACCAGGGGATGCTACCATGCAGCAACTCACGCCATGAGTTCATTGCCAATCTCTATCCCGCAGATTCTTATCTGTGAAAGAAGGGATGAAAATGCTGTGTTTTTGCATGTCTGTCTCTACGGGCAACCTACTGACTGTTTGATAGTACACCATAGACTTCATTTTCCAGAGGTTGCCGTTTTTGGTGCACGAAGCACCGAGCCGCCAGAGGAATTGAGCGGGTAAACGACGGCCTTCTACTATGCTGGGCCAGAATGACTTGCAACCAGAAAACGTAAAAGAAATCAAAGAAGGGGCCTTAACCCAAGACAGGATTCACGGGGGTGGGGTCAAGCCCTTGTTGCACTCAAGGTCATGCAAGCAACCAAGCGGGGTCAACTGCGGCGGAACTCCATTCGTTCGAAGGATATGGGGGTGGAATATAGACAAGGCAACAGATATCATGCACATCGAACAACAAGGCAGGTCAACGTTCATCAAGCGACGTCCGAGGGGGGGAAATGGTGGTGTGCGCTTCGTGAGAGACCAAAGCAGCCACCACAGAAAGCCTCCAACTATATCGACTGGGATGTCGATGTAGGACAGGTAGCCACTTGCCATGGGTCCCAAACCAAGCTCCGAAGACCACATCGCCGCAATGCTTGAGTGCTTCGTGCCGTCAGTAGCGCAGCCGTCCGTTGGAAGGCCGGCGAGCTTCAGATCCCTGTGGACTTTGTCGCAAAGCTCAAGAATCTGGTGCTTGCGACTCATCTTCTTGTTGTAGCCAACAGCAGAGCAGAGAGAGGTGAAGCAGCTCGGCGCTTCGAGCAGAGATCGACCTAGCAAAGAGGTTCGGGAGGCATTTTGTCAGGGAGGGGCACACCCTTCAATATCCCCCCGCCAATAACGGGAGAGCCTCCTGTCTGGGTGCTGGGTGCTGGAGCAGCTCTGCTGCCGTGTTACGCCCCAAAGCGCCCTTGACACCCATTTGTTCCTCTATCTTGTCGCGCTGTTTTGTTTTGTACCGTCAGCAAACTGTGTTATGATCATTCCGCACGGGCGCTCGAAGCTCCCGAAGAAGCACATTCTTTCGGACCGCGGGGAACTAAACCAGCTGACTGTTGTTCCGCATTGCTCCGCAGAACTTCGCCCTCATGGCATGAAACATGAGACATCTCCATTGCTGTGGCGTACGTTGCATGTCTGGATGAACATTAATAGCTTGAACCCACACCATTGCTACCATGCCTCTTCCGTGCGCTACACAAAGCAAAAGGTCTCCGTTCCCATTTCATAAACCCTGCCGCCTCTTGTGCGTGAACATGATGATACAACAAATCTCTGCCGCCACCAAGATAGACTAACGCGAAGGGAACGAGACGAGATGCAACAACGCGACGCACCCACAAAAAAACAAAGCGCTGCGGGTTATATAGCACTACAATACTTCTTGTACGGAACAAAGAACGACCACCAATTACGTGGTTGTACAGAGCAAAGTTGCACCGCGCGATGTGATGGCGTAGGCCTCAGCTCCCCCAAACTGATCAATCAAGGCTTTCGAGCGCAGGGCAAAAGAGACCCTTGGTTGTGCACACCTCAATCCCATCCGCACAACAATTACCGGCAAAACGTACTTTTCTCGACATGTACGTCCTCTCGTCTTACCACCGACCACGACTGATTGAAGAATCAGACAACCTCGCCCTTCTCCGCCACCATCCTGGAGATACAGTTTGTTCTCCACGTCTAAGAATCAGTGCACACCAACAAAACGAAGACGTCGACGCCCACAATTGCTGCGTGTCTTCGTGTTGGTTTGTTCGAGACAAGAGGCACCACAAAAAGATTGGGCAGGAACAAGGAACCTACGAAGGCGAAAAATACGCTTAACCCAAGGTTCTCTCTGAGGCGGGAGGGCCGGGGGCCCGGGAGGCTCATAAGCTTGGGGCTATCATCTCTGACAGGGTTGTTGGCTGGTTGCCCGCGTGCCTGTCGGCCCATCCGGTCCAGCAGACACCTCGCCTTGCCCCCACACGTCTCGCTATCGCTACAAATGAAAAAGTGTGCAACTACAGCAGTACGGCCGTGATCGACTGCCTTCCCCACAAAAAGATGGGTCCATCTCAAGAGCAAGAGCCGAGACACCATCAACAACCCAAACAAACGAGACTAAAAACTTGCAGCGTTCCCAACTCTTTCAATCGGCATCGAGGGACATGCTATGTAGGTCACAGCCAGGCCAGGCCAGGCGGCCATGAAAAACCATCCGTTGACCGGAGCGCCGCCACTGGAAAGCGACGGCAGCCCAGAGCCAAGCCTCTACTGGTCGATTGGTGGCACCAATGGTTGCGGTTGCCCACCTTCCCCCGTGTGAGCGCAAATGATTTACCACATGACGGTACGGAACGTGTCTTGTCTCCAGTCGTTCGTCACCCGAAATGGAATGGCATGCCCCCCATGCCTCCACCTCCGCCCCCCCTTCTCCCACCCCCCATACCCCCTCCTCCTTGTTGCATGAACATTTGGAACAGCATCGAAGGGTCGATCTCCATGCCGCTGCGAAGAGGAGACGCACCGAATATCGACAAGGGGGGCGCCGGGAGGGGGACAGGGGGACAGGGGGGGGCTGAGAGGTTCTGAGAACAACTCTCAACGAGAGGAAGTAGACAAAAGTGGTCCTATGGAACAAACGACAACACACCGTGCGCTGATGGCAAGTGAAGGCACAGGGACACCGTCAAATGGCAGGTCAACATTTACGCGGAAGCCTCCTCAGAAGCGACTGCCATATGACCCTCCAGATCAACAAGGTGGGCTGCATCTGTAGCGAGCAGAGAGAGGCAGCTGGCTGCTACACTCAATCGCATATATCCACCATCGGAATGTGGTATACGGGAATAACGTGGGAGTCGATCAATCGTCGGGAAAGTCTTGCTCGTCGCCTAAAAAGAAAATTAATGGTGCGTGTCACGATCGCGTCTCATTCGCTGTGCCTCCAAAGCCCGATGTGAATTGTGCGCGCAACCTCATCAATTGTGCCGATAGAGGGGAAAATCTCCGGAGTGGTCTTGCACTACACCCGCTAGATCAACGCCATCTCGATCGATCGTGAGACCCCACGCAACAGACAGCAATCTGTGCGGGGTGAACCCACACAGGAGATTTTCAATCTGCGAAATGAACTCCGCCCTCTCACCGCCCGACCCGGTGTTTGCCATCGGGGTTGGGTTTTCGTCGCTTGGCAACGACGTTGTAAAACAAGCCAATTCACTTCGTGAACTCGGCAACCAGGTTACCGCTTTTTTTTGTTTACCTCCGTTTTTTTTTTTGGCGGTAACCATAATGGTGGTCGAGTAGATCATGTTGTGCGGGGTGGAGAACCCTCACTCCGCGCAAGGGGGATGATCGCACCACGTTGTGTTAAAATGGTCAAGCACCCTCGAGGCAGTTACACAGTGCTTACAACTGTCTCTGGAAGTGAAAGCACCAGAAAATAAATTAATTCATACGCAGCTGTCATCCGTACGCAAGGAAGTAAGCACAAGATGCCGAACACCCTTAGCAGGATGCAGCGCACCCTTCATGCGACTCGCCAAATACGTCACGGCGCTTCACGCTTGGTGATGTGAGAGCCTGGTCCGGTGAAAACCCGGCGTGCTCCGTCCCGGCTTTGTAGGGATGCGAGGTCAATGGTCTAACGACTACGGCATGCACGACTATGAGTACACCCCCC